CGCCGTCCTGCTTCGGACTCCCGGACCCTGGCGCGGCTTGGGGGGGGACCATGGCCTCCTGGGGCTCTTACCTGCCCGAAGCGGACTCGAGGGGACGCGGCCACACGTTCTGCTCGACCGCCCGTTTTGCCGCCTCCGCCTCGCCCTCCCCAGCGCCGCTGCCGCCATCTTGTGTCCCGGGCCGGGACTCCGCGCTGCGCATGCGTTGGTACCGCCTCTGAGGGACCTCGCCGCGGCCGCGCCGCCATCTTGAGTGTGGCAATGTCGGCCGGCTCCCCAGACCTCGCTTGCTTTCGACCCCCTCCCCATCTCCCCGTCCTTCCCTGTGGTCCCGTCTGGAATGTAGGCGGGAAGGAGAGAATCCATTCGCACGCCCTGCCTCAGTTTCCCTGCGGGACACACTGGCGGGGGCCGAGCATCTCCTTGGGCACTTCAGGGGAGTCTTCTGAGGGCTCCGGCTCGCTTGCCGACGCAGAGGCACAGTAGTGACGTGGGCCCCGGGGCACCAGGGCGCGAGCCTCCTCGGGGCCCTGCGGCTTCCAGCTGGTCCTGCCCCCTCTCTGCTGCCCAGAGGCCAGGTGGCGAGCAAGACCAACCCTCTCCCGTTAGCCACCTGTTCGCTGGTTGCTCTTGAGTAATCTAGCCGTGGAAGCAGCCTTGGTAGGGTCAAGCCGGCTTCGGGCAGTGGGAAAGTTGCGAAGACTACACAGTTGAGCTTAGCCAGTTGAGCTTAGCCGGGGACCTTTAACCCGGCTCCCCGCCGGAATTAGGCTACTAGCTCCACCCCCTTGCGGCCTCCCAAGGAACCTGTCGCCCAGTTAAGGTGGCTTGAAAGGAGGACACGTTTGCCACCTGCTGCTGGACTGGAGCAGCAGATGCCCCAGCTGGTCAGCCTCTGATGCTCTGACTCTGGCTGCTTGTAGGGTTTTGTTGTTGTTTGTTTTTTTTTTTTGGGGGGGGATGCAAACAGCAAGAGGCTTTATTGCAGTTGTTTAACGAGCTAACCGGGCCTTTCATCATCCACCATGGCGGATGGCTGGGGAAAGACCGGGTTCTTTAAGTCTTACATTGTGAACTCTGGTTGCCAGGAACTCGGGCTAGCCAGAGATCTGCCTCCTATGTGCTGAGAGTAAAGGAATGTACTGTCATGTACAGTCAGTTTTTTTGTTTTTTGTTTTGTTTTTTTGAGGCAACGTTTATGTAGACCAGGAAGGAGAGCCTCAATCCGTCTCCCTCCTGAGTGCCGGGATTAAGGCACACCTCTCCTTGCCTTGCCAATCACCTTTTTTTGGGGGGGGGGGGGGGGGTGCCTTGCCAGCACTTGGGGAGGTGGCGGCAGGAGGATCAGGAGTCATCTTGGGCTACGTTGCCTCTGCTACATGAGGCCTTATCTAACAACAGTGGTAGCAGCTGCGCCTTTTTGCTCACACCTGTAATCCCAGCGTTTAGGAGGCGGCTGAGACCGAAGGGTCAACATTAGTTTGGAGTTAGCAGGGCTACAAGAGTGAAATTTTGCCTCAAACAGGAAAGTTTTAAAAGGGGATTGGTTGGAGCCGGGTGGTGGTGGCGGCCTTTAATCCCAGCACTTGGGAGGCAGAGGCAGCCATATCTGGAGGCCAGCCTGGTCTACAGAGCGAGTTCCAGGACAGGCTCCAAAGCTACTGAGAAGCTGTTTCAATAAACAAACAAAAAAAAAAAGATTGGGGGTGTGTAGCTCAGTAATAGAGTATCTTCCCTAGTCCCTGACTCAGTACCTGTACTTAAAAAAAAAAAGTCACGCTGCTGCTGGTCTCCTTTAACTCCGGCACTCTGATCTACCTAGGGAGTTGGAGTGCAGCTAGAGGTACATAGTGAGAGAGCCGTCTCAGACAAGTAGATGGAGTCAACAGTACTCGAGCACTGGAAAAGCTGAAGCAGGGGCACCCTAAGTCATAGGTCAGCATTCAAGCAAAACCAGAGTAGCCAGCAGCGGACAATGGACTGGCCGTCAGCTGTGCTGCCTGAGCTATACAGCAACCTTGTGTCTGTTCTGCCCCCACCCCATGTATCCTGAGTGCTGTCACTAATTTCTTCTACTTGCAGTGGCTTAGCACCAAGTATCCTCCCTGAATTCTTCCCCTCCTCCCCTGCTCCAATTCATCCTCCCTCTTCTTATGGTATGTGGCCGCTTTCCTTGCCCGTGTTTGTATACTGTCTTCCTTGCCCAACTGCTACCATCTTTGGGAGTTTTGCTCCACCAGTTTGTGAAAGATCACAGCTGGAGCCGGGCGTTGGTGGCCCACGCCTTTAATCCCAGCACTTAGGAGGCAGAGGCAGGTGGATCTCTGTGAGTTCGAGACCAGCCTGGTCTACAAGAGCTAGTTCCAGCCTATGGTCATCAAACAAGCACTGTCAGTCAGTGCTGGGTATGGAGGCAGGTAAGGGTTAGGCTCACTCTCCTTAAGCAGTAATGAGCTGTTGCTAAATTCTTAAGATGCACACACTGGTTCCTCTATTCCTAATGTTCCAACAGCACCCCAAGGTAGAACTCCAAAAAGCCACAGAGAAACCCTGTCTCCAAAAAACAAAAAAAAGATGACAGCTGGGCCTGTTAACTACTTCCCTCGTGGAAACAGATGGTGGGGAAGGTGGGGCTCTCACCTGAGTATCCAGCCAGCCATGCAAGCCTGCCCTATTGCATGCAGTATTAAGGGAGGAGCTAGAGGATGTAAGTGAGGAAGGAGGGAGGGAGGGAGTTCCACCTCTGCAGCCATTGGGGAGCCATCATTTCTTGGTGCAGAGCTCCCACTTAATGCGCTTGCCTGTAACTCTACCCATTCTTCTGTATGTATGCCTAATAAAGGAATTGCTTCCTCCCCCCAGGGGGGCAGGATCTTTGGAGTTCTACCTTGGGGTGCTGTTGGAACATTAGGAATAGAGGAACCAGTGTGTGCATCTTAAGAATTTAGCAACAGCTCATTACTGCTTAAGGAGAGTGAGCCTAACCCTTACCTGCCTCCATACCCAGCACTGACTGACAGTGCTTGTTTGATGACCATAGGCAGGCCACACGCTGTGGAAAAGCTGAGTGCTTTTGAGGTGTCCCTGTTTCTATCCCAGGCTCTGGTTTCTGCAAAAGAAACATGGAAGTGGTTCCCTTGGGAAACCCAAGCAGAGCATGATCTATGTGCTAAAGCCCTGTAGTTGGTTTAATGTTCTGTCACTAGAATCATACACAAGATTCTGGGGGTCAAACCTAGGGCCCCCATATTCCTGGGAGAAACACTGAACTACAACCTCAGTGAATGGCTGCTTTTCTAGAGGATCTGAGTTTGGTTCCCAGCACCCTGGTCTGGTTGCTCACAAACACCTCCTGCTCCCAGGTCTGATGCCCTCTCCTGGCTTCTGCAGTCCACACACACAAATAGATCTTTCAAAATCTCAATTTTGCTGATAGTTTCAAAAGCCTGGCCAAGATCAAGAACCCAACGCTAGGGCCAGGTGCTGGTGGCGCACACCTTTAATCCCAGCACTCGGGAGGCAGAGGCAGGCGGATTGCTGTGAGTTCGAGACCAGCCTGGTATACAACAGCTAGTTCCAGGACAGGCTCCAAAGCCACAGAGAAACCCTGTCTCAAAAAAGAAAAAAAAAAAAAGAGCCCAACACTAGGAAGTAGAGGCTGGAGAGGAGGATCAGGAGTTCAAGGTCAATCTAGGCCCCATAAAACCAGCCTGGGCTACAAGAGACCTTGTCTCAACAAAAGACCAGTGTTCTAGAAGCAGAGGTAGGCAGATCTTTTGAGTTGAAGGCCAACCTGGTCTACAAGGTAAATTCCAGGACAGCACAGCAAGGACTGAAAAAACAAAGTGAGATGGATCAACCCCTAAACCAGTTTTAAAAGCCTTCTAAGGCAGGTGTTGTGGCACATACCTTTAACCCTGGCACTTGGGAAGCAATGGTAGGTAGATATGAGTTTGAGGCCAACCTCTTTTACTTGGTTCCATGACAGCCAGAGGCTGTGTAGAAAGGTCTTGTCTCACAAAACCAAAGAAGTAAAAACAAGAACAATACCCCATATGAAAGGGGCTGGTCCAGCAGCTAAAATCACTTGCTGCTCTTGCAAGTTGGGTTCCCAGTACCAACACAACAGCTCACAGCCACTTGTAACTCTGGGTCCAGGGCATTTAATCACTTCTTCTGGCCACCATGGGTGTTAGGCATGCATGAGGTGTGCAGACATACATGCAAGCAAAACACCCACATAAAAAATTAAAACTGGAGCTAGCCAGGTGGTGGCGGTGTATGCCTTTAATGCCAGCACTCAGGAGGCAGATGCAAGTGGATCTCTGAGTTCGAGACCAGTCTGGTCTATAAGAGCTAGTTCCACGACAGGCGACAAAGCGACACAGAAACCCTGTTTCAAAAAACATGTATGTATATATCACAAAAAGCTGGGGCTAGAGAGATAGCTCATCGGGGGTTAAGAGTACTGGCTGCTCTTCCAGGTGACCAGGGTTCAATTGCTAGCATACACAGGGCAGCTCACAACTATAACTCCTATCCCAGGGGATCTAATACCCTCACACAGACCATACATGCCATGCATTCAGACAAAGCGCAAATACACACACACACACACACACACACACACGCGCGCACTTGAAAGACCCAGTGTTATGGAATATTTTAACTATATAAAAGTATGTTGCACTTATTTATGATGCATTTGTTTAACTGTGTAAAGATGTGTTGCTGTTTTACCTTGTCTGCCTAAGGCCACTGATTGATTAAAAAGCTCAATGGCCAGTAGCTAGACAGAGGAGGGAGGTGGGGCTGGTGCGCAGAGAAAATAAGTAGGAAGAGAAATCTAGGCTTGAGAGAACAAGGGAGACAGAGAGGGAAACACCCAGGGACAGCCAGCCAGACATGGAGGAAACAGGAAAGTAGGACATACAGAATGAAACAAAGGTAAAAGGCCCAGAAGCAAAATGTAGATGAAGAGAAATGGGTTAAAATAAGTTAGAAGAGCTAGTAAGACAAGCCTAAGCTAAGGCTGAGCATTCATAACTAATAAGTCTCTCTGTCATTTAGGAGCTGGTTGGTAGCCCAAAGAGAAAACCTGCTACAGCCCCATGAAGTGGTACCTTTGATTCCAGCATTTGGAGGCAAAGGCTGGCATATCTTTGTGAGTTCCAGGCTGGCCAGGGCTACACAGTGAGACAAAAATAGTGACACCTGTAATCCCAGAAGGTCACCAGAAGAGGAACTAGAGTACTGGAACTCAAACCTGGGCCCTCAGGAAGAGCAGCAAGTGATTTTAACTGCTGAGCTAACCCCTTTCATAGAGGTTTTCTTTTTTCTTTTCTGGTTTTATGAGACAGGGTCTCTCTACATAACTGTCCTAGAACTCACTATGTAAACCAGGTTGGCCTTACACACACATGCTGGGTGGTGGTTGCACAGGACTTTAGTCCCAGCACATGCGAGGCAGAGGCAGGAGGATCTCTGCAAGTTTGAGGCCAGCCTGGTCTACAGATCGAGTACCAGGACAGTCTCCAAAGTTACACAGAGAAACCCTGTCTCAAAAAATAACCACACAGAGACATACACACACAGGACAGGTGAGATCGAACACACACACACACACACACACACACACACACACACACACCACACACAAACGGCAGGTGAGATGGCTCAGTGGGTAAAAGTGCTTGTTCCACAAGTCTGAAGACCTGAGTTCAATTCCCAGAACCTCTGGGAAAGGTGGAAGGAGAGAGCTGAC